AAAAAAAAAAAAAAAAAAAAAAAAAAAAAAAAAAATAGTGATCTGATGCGAGCACGATTCCAACTCCTGGGCCGAGGTCCCACTAGTAACGAGGATCGGATCGAATGCCTGAATCTGGATGTGTTTTCTGCAGAGATGCCGAAAACCGGTTCAATCTGATGGGAGCACGATTCCAACTCCTGCCCCTCTCGACAAACACGTCCAGATTCAGGCATTCGATCCGATCCTCTCTGCTTGTGCGACCACGCCCCCGCTCTATGTATAAATGCTTACATATGTGTACGAGTCCGCTACACGGGCTGTGTGCGAACGTCAATTTCCGCCTTCACTTCTCCCGCCGCTCGCACTGCGCACAGGTTGCAGTGGAAAGGCAAAACGCGTAAGGAGGTGACTTGAATTCAAGTGGTGTGGGCTCGTAACAAAGGAGTAGTGACAATAGTGACAACCTAATGGGTGGCCCTCGCTCCACTACTCGTTGACATGCCCGAAAGACAAAAATCATGGCAGTGTAGCTTTCCATGTCCGAGGGGAAGATTCGCTCTCATTTTGCACATTTCGAGAGCGGCGGAGGGAGGGCCGATGTGCCAAAAAGGAAAACGCGGCGGTTCGGCGGGCCGGTTCGGCGGTTTCGCGGATCAGACAAGATACCCGCGGATCAGAACAGATACTCAAAAAGGATGATGGCGGCCGGACGGCCGCGCAAACTCCACTCGCGAAATGTGAAAACGACAAAACAGTGGTGCATCTGGCGATGTTATAGCGGGGAGTTCATTCTCGTTTTGCTGATTTCCAGAGTGGTGTGGCGATGCCCTAATGTCCCCAGAAAGGAAAAGGCGGGGGTTTGACGGGGCGGCTTGGAGGGGCGGCTTGGAGGGGCGGCTTGGCTTGGCCGGCGGTTTGGCCGTTCCGCGGATCAGAACGAAGATACCCGCCTGCAACGTTTAGTGGACCTAGCTCAGCGTTTCCAACAGCCCAGCAGCAGTAGGGGGGCATATGGAGAGGTTGTAGAGGGCCGGGTAGGGGCATATGCAAGACATGCGGGGTCCAATCGGCCAGTGGGGTATTCCACGAAGTTTCAGTAATGTGAGGAGGGCATTTTGCCATTACCCTGTGTTTTAGGGGTATCTGATGAAAGACCCCAACTTTTAGGGCCGGGTAGGGGCATATGCAAGACCTGTCTCTTATACACATCTAGATGTGTATAAGAGACAGGGCATATGGAGAGGTTGTAGAGGGCCGGGTAGGGGCATATGCAAGACATGCGGGGTCCAATCGGCCAGTGGGGTATTCCACGAAGTTTCAGTAATGTGAGGAGGGCATTTTGCCATTACCCTGTGTTTTAGGGGTATCTGATGAAAGACCAAACACATCTAGATGTGTATAAGAGACAGCCCCAACTTTTAGGAGCATTTAAACAAATTTCCCGAATCTGATCCTTGGGGGACCGGTCCTTGGTGAAAGCTGTGTGGTGGGGGCGGTGCAGGGCAACCCGTAGTGCTGCGCCGCCCGTACCAGAACTCGGCCCGCGGGAGTGGCTGGAAAGGAGCAAGCGCTGACTTCAGGACGCGACAGGGCTGGCACGAGGAGGGTTTGGCATCGTTCGTGTGAGGAGCAGCGGGGTGGCAGGGCTAGTGCAAGGAGGATCGGCAGCGATTGGCGAGGGAGCAGCAAGAAGGGGTTATGGTGGGGGGCTGGTATGATGGGTATGGGGATGAAGGAGGATGGTCGTGGACAGCAAAGTGATGTAACATGAGAAGGCGATTGCTATCGCCGGGCGAATAGGAGGCTGAGGTGGAGTGTAAGGTTGGGGTAGGGGCTGTTGACAAGAGGGACTGACGACAGGAGGGAGTCGCTTGCTGTTTGGAGGAAGGAGGAGTGGCCAGTTGAGAAATATCTTGAGTAGATGAGGAGCATCTGAAAGGTCTGGGGATAGATGTGTTATCGAGGGGTGGATGATAGTGGAAACGATCTTACCCCTTCATTTCTTCGAACTACCTGCAAGGGGCGGCTGGCAGGTTCAGCTGTTGTGCTCGTGACGTGGCATGGACTGCTGCGATGGTGATCCTGGCTACGGTCCGTTTATCTTCATCGTCTGGCTATTCGATGGTGTAGTCGACCAATAGGCGGTCGGGTGCTTGATGGCCGATGAAGGCGAGGAGGTGAGCTTTGGAGGGGGCAGGGGTGGTCGATGGTTGGAAGGTGTTTCTCCTCTTACCTGTCCTGAAGTCTCAATTGTATGTTGGACTTTACTCAATTCTAGATGATTCTTCTCATATCCACGAATGAAAGTTTGTGATCTGGATTTCTTTCAAATTTGTAATGATCATAGTAGTTTTGTTCCATCCATTCCTAATTGTTCTCTCGAAAAAAGTTTAAGATGCCTTTCATCATCGTAATTTTGCAATAAATCTTGATCCGGTTCCAAAATGTCGGATGATCTGATAGCGTAGATTTCTGAGCATATTTCTTCAACCATGATCACGTAAGATTTCGCTTAGCACTTTGCCACACGATTCTCCAACGGTGGTCAGAGGATCTGTTTCGAAAATCCTTTTTGGATATGTAAACCTAAAATTCGTATGGTTTTTCCCTTGATTCCACACAATTAGTTTGTGCCCCTGCTTCTCGATCCAAGGTAGTTTTGTACCTAATTTTCCTAATTTAAAACCTACAGCGTTGTATTCTGAATTTTGATCTGTTTGTCGATTGGATCATTTTTTTCTTACCTAAATCCATAGTCTCACTCTTTCAAGTTTCTCATGATCGATTTGGTTGTTCATGCTTTGAGTTTATATTGTGGTGGAGGAGGTCGGCTCGTCGCGAGATGAAGATGAATGTGGCTACTTCGTTGCGGGACCTTGTGAGCTTTGCTCCCTACTATTCCTCCTCGTGCGAACTATGTAGTGGAGGAGGTCGGCTCGCCGTTTGAGGAGGAAGCGTGGGGAGAGTTTATAGGGTTGTGCGATACGGGTAGGGTGGGTATAGGAAGTACGTGGAGATTGAAAGATGGCGGGGTGGTAACCATGTGTCCTACTAGTGAGGAGTGCTAGCCGGTGGGATGAATGGCGAACAAACAACATTAAGGATCATGTTTTTGCTGTTGTGAGTCCTGTTGGGACAGAAGTAGAATTGGGTAAAGGGGAGGGGTAGTCAGGTTTAACAAGCAATTCAGAATCTGGTTTGGGTTGAGTATGCCTTAGGAGATTTTGCTGGGACGACGCAGACCAGTGCTGCCATCCTGTAACTCGGATTAGCGGGAGCTTGAGGTCTGGGGAGTTGCTGAGGATAGCAGGCAACAAGCAATTTTCGACAACTGGTTGATGTTGGGGTATAGCCCTGTAATCCGGTTGGAGACTGAGGCTGGGGGAGTTATCAAGGGAGGAAGGCGCTCCATTCCGTTATAACAACGAGAGTCGGAGTTGGGGCGGCTTGTGCTGCCCCTGTAACCCTAACTGAAAAGGGGGTTTGAGACTCGAGGAGTTAAGTTGCGAGGACAGAAAGGCGTGAGCCGGGTTTGGGTTAGCTTGCTATAATGGGGGTTCGGAAGGATGGTCGCCAGTTTTGTCTTCCGGGATTTTTATTTGTTTCTTGCATTAACTGAACTCAAAGCTTATTTCCTATCCTTGTATGTTCATTTACTTTAAAAAAAAGGCGGTTGTTTGTAAGAATGTTTAGGAATCTAGGGTCTCCTAGCAACCCACCTTAGGCGGTTTCGATGCTGTTATACTCAGTGATCTGCGGCTGTTCGATGCCAGAACAACGCTGGCCGGTGTTGGGGTGTTGCCCTGTAACCTGCTGACGCAGGAGCGTGAGGCCTGGTAGAGAGATATGGGGATGCTTTGGGGTGGGCACTCTAAGGGGCAACCAAGGGTTGCTGCTGGGACGACGTTGCTCGGAGTTGGGGCGAGTCGTGTTGCCCTGTAACCCAGCAGGGTGGGGGCGTGAGGCATGGAAAAGCTCGACAGGGAGTACGACAATGTTGGAATGTTTTAGAACGGTTTGCTAGGGATTTTGAGGGTTGTGAGCATTCAAAGGGCAGCTTAGTGCATGAGTAGTTCCTTAATAGGTTAACAAATATTCATGATTCTCCCTAGGACTTCTGAGTCACATCGTGTTCTCAGACTGTTCTCAGTCGAAGCCGGGTAATGGCCCGATATCTCAAAGGATCTCAAATAAACTGTACAATTCGATATGGGAGGCTGCACCCGGTTCCCAGCACGTGCTGCTCCCCGCAAATAAATTGGAGCACTTGTTTTTCAAAAAAAAAAAAAAAAAAAAAACTTCTTGTTTTCTTTTCGGTTTTCGTCTTGTGTTTCATTTGCTTTAGTTTTCCTTTTCTTCTTTTTTCACTCATTGCTCTTGTGCTTGTTCGTCTTCCGTTT